GTTATGCAAGAAAATGATAAACATAACACAAAAAAGGATAAACATGATACAAGAAATTACAAGGGTATGTGAAAATTATTACACAGAAACTCATAACTTTCTTCAAAGCTCAAAATATCTCTCACAAACACGTCTCTCACATGTTCACCCTTTTCATCACATGGTTCACAAAAAAAGGAAGAAAACTTATTTGAAATTCCTGATGCACTATTCAAACCTTCATTGACAAATCTCTTTCTATTACTACAAGACAAAAAAAATAATCCACTGGAAAAAAATCTGGATCATCATCTCCTGCTTTATATAATACTCTTACTAAATTGCATTCAAATTCTGATCTCTGCAAATGCAAACTTCATACTAAGTCCTCCTCTATAAACTTATATCCCAAAGAGGGTCTTATCAAACTCCGTACTGACCAAACTTTGCTTAAACTCATTACCTTACAATTTCACATAGATCATCTCATTGTACTTACTGGCTTAGTTTAGTTTTGAACAAGCCTTGGTGACTAGTCACACTGTAATCTTTGTATGAATTTTTTGGTGATTCACTTTGTATTTCACTAGTCATTAAAATTACATATGTAAATTAGATTAGTAAGCAAAATGTATAAGACTATACTATAGCAAATTTAAATAATAATAATAATAATAATAATGAAATTCTTTTTGCATCTTGTTCATGTAGATCTCTTGTCCATGGACTAAGTCACACTATAAGAAACGAAAAGATCAAATAGCTCCTCCACTATAATAATTATTTTATCAACAATATATATAAAATCTCTTCTCACACTTCCAAGCTTCACATAAATATCAATTTTACAGACTTTATTCCAAAACTTCAATTTTATTTCTATTACTTTCCAAAAAACATGAAAAAATCAAAAATATACGAAAAACTTCTTATAATAAACTCATTATAATATCCTTTCACACTTCACACACAAAATAATATCAACCTCTCATGAAAATTCAGGTTCTGTTCTCAACAACTTAACCAAGTACTTTTCATCTTCTTCTTTACAATCAACTACCAAAAAACACATTTCAAATCGTAACGACACTGGCAAAAATTCAGAAATTATTCCAATGAATAAGAAACAAAAAAATTGTGTCATAATCCCTATAATAAGACAACCAAACTGACAACCAGAAGCATGTTCAAAAAAAGCAAAACATCTAATCTCAATGACACAGACATGGAACCAAACAATACTAATATGAAAACAGATGATGCAAGCAATACAATCTCAATATACAATAATGTATCAATACCTAAATCTGAAAATCATGTAATAAATCTAGATAATACATTATCTTCCATTGAAATATTACACAAGTCTCACTCAGAACTAAATACACCAAAAAATAAAAATATTATCACTCCAAATATTAATACACCAAATATGAATAATTCTAATACTGACAATAGCAATTCAAATAATCAAATGACTAACAATAATCAAATGGCTAATAATAATAATAATAATAATAATAATAATAATAATAATAATAATAATAATAATAATAAATCTCTTTTCGCATCTTGTCCATGTAGATCCCTTGTCCATGGACTAAGCCACACTGCAAGAAACGAAAAGGCCAA